AAAAAGAACCTCTCCAGAGTGCTCTTCAGTACTCTGAGTACACCGTCAGGCTGGAGACTAAGGTGTGCCTGATCCGGGCTATAATCTTCACAATTGTGTGCTATGCGTCGGAGAGCTAGACAGTGACTAGGGATAATAGAAAGAGAATTGATATGTTTGAGCTGTGGTGCTGGAGAAGAGTGTTGAATATATCACAGACTGCTAGGAGAACAAAGAGGTTCATCCTAGAGAGGGTGAAACCAGACTGCTCCTTGGAGTCAAGGATTCTGAAGCTTCGTCTGACATACTTTGGGCATGTTGCAAGGAGGAACCAGTCCTTGGAGAGGGACATCATGTTTGAAAGGGTGGAGGGACAGCACAGGAGAGGAAGACCCTCGATAATGGATGGATTCAGTGATTGGAATAGTGGGAGGAGGTGTGTCAGAGACAGTGAGGTTGGCACAGAATAGAACAGGGTTTACGGCTCTTGTATATAGGGTTGCTATAAGTTGCAAGAGACTTGATGGCACATAGCAACAATTCTAAAATAATCTGAAAAAGAAAAACAAAAAGAGGTAAATGTAGAGGTTACACGGACCAAGGCAAGAGCTGCCTGGGTTTAAAAAAAAAATTGTTATCAGGACAAAAAGAACAGTGCCCAAAATGCGTATGTCTTCTCGAGAAAAGACTGATTCTCCTGCTGAAGCTGCCTTCTGATAAGAGATGTAGTTATGAAAACTTCCTGTTTCAGAAAATAAGAAACAAGAAAAAACATCTCAGAGCCCAGTTAACATATTTTATTGGTTATGTAACAAAAACAATTTCTCAATAAATGCTATGAGGATGTTCAGGTCTGGAGGATACTTTTCAAAGGACAACATGCCAAAATATCTGAGTTATACCCGTCTTCTCCCTGGTTACACTCCTCCACAACACAGTTCTTTTTCTTAGGCAGTCCGTGGAATATTCAATGCACTTCATCAATACAATTTAAAGGCATCAATTCTCCTGTGGTCCTCCTGATTCATTATCTAACTTTAACATGCATATGAAACTGCAGAGATTTAGGTCAGGCACACCTTGGTGTTTAAATTTGCATCTTTCCTTGTCAGCACTTTAAAGAGATCCATTTAAAAAGAGTTTTCCAATGCAACAATTGTTTTGATTTCTTGATTACTGGAACTATAAGTTGATCATGGATCCAAGTAAAATTATATCAATGATAACTTGAATTTTCTATCCATTTATCATGATGTTGCCTACCCAGTTATGAGGATTTTTTGTTTTCATGATATAAAGTATAATCCATTTGAAGGCTGTAGTCTTGTTCTATCTTCTTCAGTAAAAGTGCTTCAATTCATCTTCACTTTCTGCAAAGAAGGTTGTGTCATGCATATAGCATAAGGTGTCCATGAGCCTTCCTCCACTCCTGATGCCAAATTCTTCTTCACACAGCCCAGCTCTCCAATTATTTTCTCAGCATACATATTAAGTAGGTATGGAGGAAAAGATATACCCTAGTGTAAATCTTTACTGAAGTTAAACCATGTAGTATCCACTTGTTTTGGTCAAGTAACTACTTCTTCATCTATGTATGTTTTGCATGAGCACAATTATGTTCTTGAATTCCCATTCTTCTCAGTGGTCCCATAATTTAGTATTATCCATACAGTTGAATGCCTTACCACAGTCAATAAAACCCAAGTAAGCATCTTTCTGATATTTCCTGGCTTCAGTCAATATCCATTTGACATTATTCCTAGTTCTGTGGCCTCTCTTGAATCCAATCTGAATTTCTAGCAGTTCCCTGATAATACACCTTTTCAGCTATTTATAAATAATCCCCAGGAAGATTTTACTTGTATCTAATATCAAACTGTGGTTTGCTTGGTTCCACAGTCAACAGTCTTGGCATTAGCAGCCAGGAAATTAAAAAACATACTGCGATGGGGAAGTCTGTGGTTTGAGACCTCTCTAAAGTACTGAAGTGCAACAATGTCAGTCTGGAGACTAAGGTGCACCTGACACATGCCACGGTTTTTGCCATCACTCGTTATGCATCAGAGAGCTTTAACAATGACTAGGGATGACAGAAGGAGAATTGATGCCTTTGAGCTGTGGTGTTGGAGAAGAGTATTGAATATAACATGGACTACTAAGAAAATGAACAGGTTTGTCCTGGAGAGGGCGAAGCTGCCCTGTTCCTTGGAGGCAAGGATTCAGAAGGTTCGTCTGACATACTTTGGACATGTTGCAAGGAGGGACCAGCCCTTAGACAGGGACGTCATGCTTGGGAGGGTAGAGGGACAGCACAGGAGAGGAAGACCCTCGATGAGATGGATTGATTCAGTGATTGGGGTGATTAATGGGGGAAGGTGTGTTGGAGATGGTGAGATTGGCACAGGGATAGGGCCAAGTGTAGGGCTGTTGTACATAGGGTCACTATGAGCCACAAACGACTCACCGGCACCTAACAACAACAACAACAACGACATCTATTCATACCTTTTTAATCTGTCAAAGTATATTTAAAAAACCAACAGCTCCTAGAAAGAAAGATGGACAGTCTCCTCCCATAAAATTCACCCAATGAGGATCAGCTACACAATACAAATGGCAATGAGTTGTGAAGTGTTTGGGTTTTGTTTACAGGGGGTTATTTTTAATTAAAAATTAGACTCTTTTTATAATATCAAAGAAAATATATCAGTGTGAAAACTATCTGGTAGTTTCTCAAAAAGTAAAAAAATAGAATTATAATAAGATCAAGAAATCTACTCCTAGGTATATATCCAAAATAACTGAGAGCATGAATTCAAACAGACATTTGTTCATCAATGCTCAGTGCATAAATCCTAACAGCCAAAAGCTGGAAAAGCGTCTCCCAACAGAAAAACAGATAAATAAAATGTGGTCTAAACAAAGAGTGGAAGTTATTCAACCATAGAGAGAAATAAAACGATGATAGCTCCTATAACGTGGATAAATTCTGATAATATTATGATAAATTAAATAAGCCTGAAACAAAAAGATAAATATTTTTATGATCTATTAAAAACATGTCAAAAAGGCAATTATATAGATAAAAGTGTTTATTAGTAGCTACGAGGAGCCAGGTTGTACATAGGCCTGCTATTTCAGAAGTGGATGGCAAAACCTTCCTCCTAGTCTGTTTTAATCTGAATGTTCAGATTTAGAGAAGTATCAGACAGACCAGCATTTTATAGAAAAAAGTGACATGTTGTAAGGAAGGACCAGTCCTTGGAGAAGGACATCATGCTTGGGAGGGTGGAGGGACAGCACAGGAGGGGCAGACCCTCTATGAGATGGATTGATTCGGTGACTGGGGTAATCGGGATGGGTGTATCTGAGATGGTGCAACTGGCACAGGACAGAGCGGAGTTTAGGGCTGTTGTACATAGGGTCGCTATGAGTCGCAAGCGACTCGACGGCACATAACAACAACAACAACAACAATGAGAACCAGTGAGAGGGAAAAATCAACATGTATTGTTATGGAGTACTTAGTTCTGCTAAAGGCAATCAAAATAAACAAAACTTAGTGATGATGGCTGTACAATATGGTCAGCATAATTGTCAGTGAGTTGAAAATGTGAAAATGATTGAAATGACACACATTTTCTTTTACCACAATATAGTTATATGAGATTTGGTTAGTTTGGCTCATTATTTTTTTAAAGGATTGTCAAAGGTTACTAATATCATGTTTCACAATTCAAAAGGTGAGTAACACTCCTTATTAGAAGCACTGGTTCATCAATTTACAATTGACGAATGCTGAGAAAAGAACATGTATGTGTACTCCCTTCACTATGAGTACAACCACTTGGAAACAGCACAATGAAATCTTACACATTTTTCTGCCAAGACATTGGATGCTTCAGACTTGTTATTAATACTACTAGATGGTTAGCAAAGAGACCAATAAAACTTATGCAATAAAAACTGTGCAAATATACCACAATGCAGAAAAATTGATATAATTTTTAAGGACAGGCATTACACAATCAGATGACAACTGGAAGGATTTGGTTTTCCTTTCTCTTTTTTGCATCTAATTTTTTTTTCTTCATCATATAGTCCCAGGGAGCTCTGGTGGCCTAGTGCAAAGAAGCTACACTGCAATCCCAAAGGCACATGGTTCAAGGACACAAGATGCTCAGCAGGAGAAGGATGGGCAATCTCTTCCTGTGCAATTAACTGCCTCTGAAAACCACCAGAGGGTCAGCTATGGGTCAGTTCTGACTCAATGGTAAACAACAACAATACAGTACCAGGATTTTTTTTTTTTTTTTTAGCTGTATTAGGGAAATAAATGTGGTCACTTTCTTTTCACAGCAATTTGTTTTAGACTTAGTGCTTGTCAACATGCTAATATAACACACCTAGGTTAGATATATTAAGTACCTTTGATTGCAATCTGAAGACATTTAGAAAATAATTGTGATTTTAAATGCATAAGGTGATAACCTAAATCATTAATGGTTTGAAATTTTTGACATTTCAAAGTTGTTAAAATTTAATGACTGAAATACTTCCTTTGATCTAATGAAACTGTTTCATATTAACAAAAAGTCAAAAGTTTAATTACAGAATCATACAGCTAACTATTCAAAACTATTAATATTGGATATTAAAATGAAGCCTTCAAAGTTGTTATTTTCATTTTAATTGATTCCCAAAGATCTCAAGACCATGCATATCTTTAGGTGGATGACCTGGAAATTACCAGCTTCAAAACAAAGGACAACTTTCCAAAGAATATAGAACTGATCTATCTTCAAAGACTTGGACTTTAATTATAACAATAATAATTCATCCTCATTTACCCTGAGTTGCCTTACACTACTACAGAATCAGAAGTCTGACTTACTCCACTTAGTTGCAACGTTTCCACCTCTAGTGATATGCCACTCAAATACAGCATTTACTTTCTTTACCACCTCATGCCCAACATCCTTAAGGCGACGACTTATTTCCTCAAATACAAGGGCACTCTGAAGCTTCCCGATCTATTGAAGATAAATAAATAAATAAAAGTTAATGTTAATTGTTCTGCAAAAACTACTCAAAGGCAAAAAGAATTACAAATATATGTGCAATATAAGACATTTTAAAGGAATAACTTGCAGATAAATGAGGCACTGTTACCTAGTTTTGTTTTTCCATTCCAGGTTTCATTCCCTCTCTTTATATTTACATTAGATCATCCAGAATCCCAATCTTCTCAATAAGAGGTTTTTGTTTTGTTTTGTTTTTCTTTTTCAGTATTCAGAAACAATAATTCAGAAATAAACTAAGCTAGGAATTAAAAACTCTCGTAGCCAAGTGGCAAGAAGCTGTGCTGCAATCCCAAAGGCACGCAGTTAAACGTCACCAGGTACTTTGCAGAAGGATGGGCAGTTTACTCCTGTGTGATTACTGCCTCTGCAAAGCCACTGCATGGTCCGCTATGGGCCAGCTCTGAACTTATGGTACACAACAACAAAAAACTAGGAATGGGACATTCTATGTTCTAGTCTAACTTCATCAAGGAGATACTGGACAAATCATCCAAATTATCTGGTCTCGTTTCTTTATTTTTAAAATATATCTTAATTACATGAAGCCTAAATTCCCTTCTAATTCTAAAATGATGTGTCATTTTATAGATTCTTCTCAAGGTATTCTTTTTAAATTTTTTATTGTGATCTGCAAAAGAGTTTATAGAACACATCCATTTTCCATTCAGTAACTCACACCTGGTGTTGTGACACTGGTTGTAATACCCATAGTGTAACTGTACTCTTCCTCCTCCCTTCCTGTGTTTTCCACTTCCATTCCTCCTTTCCTACATGTTCTCTACCTTCTGAGCTTTATTCCTGGACCAATGCTGCCCTTTAGGATCTTATATGGTGATTGTTTCAAGGAGTGCATTCCTCCCTGGTAGCCCTGACTTTCAAATACGCCTATTGTTTTGCTGGAAATTAAGTCACAGGGATGATTTCATTTAATCTTCAATAAGATACATGATAATAAGACTTGAGACAATTAAGATTATGGGGTATGAAAGTGCTATAAAAAGGTTTATAAAGTCTCTGTATAGCTAGGGAATGTATACAGGGAATGAAAAGTTTCAACATGTTAATAAGATAAAATAAAATGTCTTAACTAATAATGTTTGCTCCTGCCTTATCATCTGCATATAAATCTTTATATAAATTTTTAACTCTAGAAAAAGTCTCTGGATATTTAATCTTTTAATATTTTCTCCAAAGTACACTGAATGTTTAAAATTCTTATTGAACTGATTTAGTTACCCTTAAAGCAAATTTATCAGTAGCTAATAAATGCTAATTATTTTCTCTTCAAAAGATATCCAAGTTATATTTTAAGTACCTCAGGATGTATCAGAATACATAAAATATACAATTAAGATTTTAACTAAACTAGAAATTGTTAAATTGAGATAGATTTCAAGAGGTATATCAGCCCTTTAACTGCAAAAAAAAAATTGTACATGGCTCTGTCTGTATGTACTGTTCTTAGGAGAAGTTCTATCACTGTCATCAGAATACTAAGGAAGTCAAAAGACCTTTTCCAAAAGAAGTTTAAGAAAGTATTCTTAAGTTCTTGAAATATTTCTTTTATTCAAAATATTTTAAATTAATGTCCTTAAACTCAAGAATTAAGAGTTATTTCACTGTTTTTAATGTTCTAAAATAAAAGTCATTGTAAAAGTGATCTAATAATTTCATTAATCAAGAAATTATTTGGATACTAGCTTTTAGAACTCACCTCAGACAATGTCTTAAGTGAAGTGTCAGATGTTGGCACAAGATCTATGTAGGCATTAGAAATGACAATGTCTCCAGTCTCTTGGACCTAAAAGGGTGCAAATGGGGGAGGGAAAAAAGGTTCATTTTTATTCAAAGGAATTACAATTTCAGTGTGAAGCAGTTTAAAATTTTAAGTTTTTCTTTACTTACATTTTGCCTCTAAATTTGGAAATAATACAAATTGAATAAACAGTTGATGAAATAAATGACAAAATGAATAAAGATTACAGATGTAATATGTTGTTGTTGTTGATGTGCCGTCGAGTCGCTTGCGACTCATAGCGACCCTATGTACAACGGCTCTAAACTCTGCTCTGCCCTGTACCAATCTCATTATCTCCGACACACTCATCCTGATTGCCCCAGTCACCGAATCAATCGACCTCCCAGAGGACCTTCCCCTCCTGAGCCTGCCCTCCACCCTCCCAAGCATGATGTCCTTCTCCAAGGACCGGTCCCTCCTTACAACATGACCAAAGTATGTCAGATGAAGTTTCAGAATCCTTGCCTCCAAGGAACAGCCCCATTTAATCCTCTCCAGAATGAATGTTTGTTTTCTTTGCAGCCCATGGTACCCTCAACACTCTTCTCTAACATCAAAGCTCAAAAGCATCAATTCTCCCTCTATCCTCCCAGGTCACTGTCCAGCTCTCTGACGCATAACAAGTGATTGCAAAGGCCATGGCCTGTACCAGATGCACCTTAGTCTCCAGAGAGACACCACTGCTCTTCAGTACTTTAGAGAGGTCCCTAACAGCGGACTTTCCCATCGCAATACATCTTTTAATTTTCTGGCTGCAGTGCCAGGAGTGTTGATTGTGGAGCCAAGCAGACTAAAGCTGTGAACAATCTCAATCTCTTCACCATCTATCCTGATGCTGCCAATTGGCCCAGTGGTGAGAATCTTTGTCTTCTTGACATTGAGCCTCAATCCATATTGAAGGCTGCAGTCCTTGATGCTCTGCAGCAAGCGCTTCAGGTCCTCCTCCCTTTCAGGAAGCAGGGTGTGTCGTCGGCATAACGCAGACAGTTGATAGATCTTCCAGCAATCCTGATGCAGCATTTCTCTTCACGGAGCCCAGCCTCACGGATGATCTGTTCTGCATACAGGTTGAAAAGGCATGGAGACAGGACACATCCCTGGACACATAGCCCTTCCTAATTTTGAACCATGCAGTGTTCCCTTGCTCTGTTCTGACGACTGCCTCTTGGTCCAAGTATAAGTTTCGCATTAGCACGATCGAGTGTTCTGGGATTCCCATTCTTCTCAGAGTCAGCCACAGTTTGATATGCTCCACACAGCCAAATGCCTTTGCATAATCGATGAAGCACAGATAGACATTCCTCGGGTACTCCCTGCTTTCAGCCAACATCCCTACTACCACGATCCCTTCTAAACCCAGCCTGGACTTCTGGCAGTTCTCTGCTGATATGCTGTTCCAGTCATTTTTGGATAATCTTCAGCAGAATCTTGCTTGCATATGAAATCAACAATATTGTTCTACAGTTTCCACACTCTGTTGGGTCACCTCTTTGGAATGGGAACAAATATAGATCTCTTCCAGTCAGTTGGCCAAGTGGTTATTCTCCAAATTTCAGAGCAGCATCTGTTAGCTGAAAAATGTCAATTGGTATACCATCTATTCTGGGGGCCTTATTTTTTGCTATTTCTTTCAAAGCAGCTTGAATTTCTTCCTTCATCACCATAGGCTCTTGCTCATATGTTGTTTCATTAAATTCTTCAGTTCTGCCAATTCCTTTCGATACAATGACTCAGTATATTCTTTCAATCTTCTTTTGATACTTCCTGGATGGTTTAATACTCTGCCTAAAGCATCCTTGATTATAGCAAATCAAGGTTTGAATTTGTTCTTCAGTTCCTTGAGCTTAAGAAATGCTGAGCGAGTTCGGCCCTTTTGGTTTTCTGACTCTAGCTCCTTGCACATTTCATTGCAATATTTTACTTTGTTATCCCGCGCTGCCTTTTGAAATCCTCTGTTCAGCTCTTTAGCATCTTGAATTCTTCCTTGTGCTTTGGCTTCTCTGCGCTCCAGTGCAATATTCAGAGTTTCTTCTGACATCCATTTTGGTCTTTTCTTCCTCTTCTGCCTTTGTAGTGAATGTTTGCACTCTTCTTGGATGATACCCTTGATATCCTCCCACAACTCATCTGGTCTTCGCTCATTCGTGTTCAAGACCTCAAACCTGTTCTTGAGATGGTTCTGAAATTCAGGTCCAATAGACTCAAAGTTATATTTTGGTTCCCGTGGATTCAGTTTCATTTTCCTCAGCTTCAGCTTGAACTTGCATATGAGAAGTTGGTGGTCTGTTCCACAATCGGCTCCGGGCCTAGTTTTCACAGCTGATGTTGAGCTTCTCCAGCGGTTCCTTCCGCAGATGTAATCGATCTGATTCCTATGCATACCATGAGGTGATATCCATGTGTATAACCTGCATTTATGTCTCTTTAAAAATGTGTATGCAATGAATAAGTCATTGATTGTGCAAAATTTAATCACTCTATCTCCAGCTCCATTTCTGTCTCTGAGTCCAGATTTAATATGATTGCTATTAATCCTAGTTACACAATTAGTTGATTTCATTTAAACAATACTCATTATCAGGCCCCATCCTCAAAAATTCTTAATCGTCTAAGAGGAAGGTTTGGCCATTCATATTTGGAATTTTCTTTTTTTTTTTTCTTTTAAGTGTGTCCAAGAAGCATGAGGTGAAAGTACTGAAGTCTTAGAGATAGTTTAGCATTGCATAATATCTATAGGAGGTACTAGATCTCCAAGGACAACTGTGCTACAGTGTAAAATAAAACAGGCCATGATTAGGCCCAATAGTCTTATTAGGACAGTGATTCTAGTCCTTATCTCTAAAAGAAAGTAAACATAATATAAACTAAATTATTATATAGCCATTTCTCAAAATAGTAGTGACGTGAAATTAAACTCTAATTCCTAATCTTTCATCTAAAATTATTCCAATAGTTATTCTTGTACAGAAAGTATGTTATTGCTACAAATGTACAAGATAGATTTCTAAAAAATTAAGGTGGTGGTGGTGGTGGTGGTTGTTATGTGCTGTCGAGTCACTTGTGACTCACAGTGACCTTATGTAAAACAGCTCTAAAACCTGCTCTATCTCTTGCCAGCCTTATTGTCCCAACACACCTATCCCCATTACCCCAGGGATGGAATAAATCCATCTCATCAAAGGTCTTCCTCTCCTACACTGTCCTTTCATCCTCCCAAGCATGGCGTCCCTCTCCAAGGATTGATTCCTGCCTTGCAACATGTCCAAAGTAAGTCAGATGGAGCTTCAGAATCCTTGCATCCAAGGAGCAGCCTCACTTCACCCTCTCCAGGATGAACTAGCTTGTTCTCCTAGCAGTTCATGGTATGTTTAATACTCTTCTCCAGCACCACAACTCAAAGGCATCAACTGTCCTTCTATCATCCATTAAGGTAGCAGTTATTAATTTTTTTGTCATTAAACTTATTAAAACAGGAAGATCATTCTCCTATAACTACTTCCATCAGACTTTGGAAACAAAAATACCTTTTAAATAATTTGTTCTGTTTACTTCAAACTATATATAGTGAAAAGCAAAGAAAGATAATTTTTGAACAAAATCTGCTCTAATAAAACACAAAATTTACTAATCTTATAATTAAGTCAAAGATTTCATCCCAAATCACTGATTTGAAATGGTTCCTGACATAGAGCATAGAGGAAGGAAGGGAGGTAGGTGTGAGGAACAAGCCGAGAAGTAGCTCAGGAAGAAGGAGCTATGTAAGGAACAGAACAGGAGGACAGCCGATCACGGTGTGGTGAGAATAACAAGTATACTAAAAAAGCATAAGACATGCTTAGAATGTGCCAAAATGGCAAGAAGTTACAATAGTCAAATATCACTCTATTTCTCTGTCCTATCTATAAAAATAATGTACTTACTGTTCACTATTAGTATTCTAGGGAAAAACAAATTTGTAAGTAATGAAGTCATGGTCTGTATACTTTGAGATGTTAATTCTGTTTGAAAAATAAAACCTATTCATAAAATAAAAGGGTACTAGAATATGGAGCATAAGCATTAATTGCAAGGCAATTTCAGAAAAACTACTGTGTATGTTTAGCATGAGTAGGAAAGAGAGAAGTAGTAGGGGTCTGCCATGGGGCAAGCTAGAGCTTGAACTGAAGCCTGAAAGTAGAAGTCAAATCGATTTCAACTCATGGCAACTGTCCCCTCATCCAACACATCACTCGGCTACCAAAGCAGAAGACGTGAAAGTGGAATAAAGGTATGTACACAGGAGTGGCATTCACTTCCTAAACAACATACCTCTGGAAACTCTATGAACTTTGGTAAATGTTGAGAAAAACTTCAGGCCTTCTGTTCACAGGGTCGCTAGGAGTCATGCTCGACTCGATGGCAATCAATAACAACACAGGTGAGGTAAGAAAATGAAACTATACAAGCAGGAAGCAAGAGGGAGGCAATCATATATGACAATTTCTGAAGGAAAACATACTACAGCAAAAAGCTCTGTAGTCAGGCTGACTAACTCAGCTCCGCCATTTCCAATGAGACCTTGAGCAAATTATTTAGGTGGCCTGGTAGCCTACTACTGGTAAGAAGCTGCACTGCCAAACCGAAGACACATCGTTCGAATCCACCAGCTGCTCTGCAAGACAAAGATGAGCTATCTCCTCCTATGCAATTCACTGTCTCTGAAAACCCACTGGAAAGTCAGCTATGGGTCACTTCTGACTCAGCGATACTCAACAACAAACCCAGATTTCTGTATCTTTGTAAATAGAAGCTATTATATAGCTCAAAACAGATCACTGAGGCAGTACAAAATGATATGGCCAAAACAAATCACACTGGCCAACTGTGTTAACAAATTTGTCTAAAACCTTGAAGGCTTTTATTTGAACACTATTAACAGTTCATTGTTTTAACAGCTGTGTCCAGCTATCTCACTGGAAATCTCTCTCTTTTTTCACTGACACACTAGCTTTACCAAGCACCATGATTTTCTCCAGGAGATGGTTTCTTTTAATAATATGTGAAATGAAGTCTCATCATCCTTGCTTGTAAGGAATATTCTGGCTAAAATTCTTCTAGGACAGATTAGTTTGTTCTTCATAGCAGTCCAAGGTATATTCAATATTCTTTGATAGCATCATAATTCAAATCCACCAATTCTTGAGCCTTCCATATTTAATGTCTAACTTTCACATGCATATGAAGCAACTTGAGTCAGACACACTTTAGTGCATTCTTCATTGCTGTTGTTAGATGCCACTGAGTCAAGCACTACTCATAGAGATCCTATTAACAAAAGATCTAAACCATGTTCTATCCTGTGCCATCCTCACGTTTCCTGACACACAAGAGCCCCATTGCAGCATTCACCACGTTAATCCACCTGGTTGAGGGTCTTCCTCTCCTTCACTGACCCCTCACCCTTCCCAGCATCATGCCCTTCTCCATGGAATAGCACTTCCTAGAAACATGGCCAAAGTATATGAGGCAAAGCCTCATCATTCTTGCCTCCAAAGAACACTCTGACTGCATCCTCTCCAAGACATAGTTGTTCGTTCTCAGTGCTCTTCTCCAACACCACAGCTCAAAGGCATCAATTCTTTTTCTGTCATCCTTATTCACTGTCCAGCTCTCAGATACATAGCAAGTCATCAAAAATAATATGGCCTAAATCAGACACACCTTAGTCTTCAAAATGACATCACTATTCCTCAATAATTTGGAAAGGTCTCTAACTGCAAATTTTCCCAGTGCAATGCATCTCCTTAGTCACATTCTTTAGAATAGGTAGAAAAATGGATCCTTTCCCAGGTCAAATTTGTTAGCATAGACAAGTAAGCACTTCCTGCGTTGCGTCCATTTGTCTTAGTAATCTAGTGATAGCCTAACAGGAATACCTCAGCTGGACAGTTTTAGCAAGCAGAAATGTATTCTCTCACAGTTAAGGAAGGAAGTCTGATGTCCAAATTCAGGGCAGTAGCTCAACAAAGGTGTCAGTCCTGGAGGAAGGTACCTATGTGCTTTTGACATCTGAGGGCCTGGAGTGCCTTGGAGATCTTTTATCTTAGCTTCAAACTTCCCCTGAGTTTAGAAGGTTCTCAGAACAGAAACCATGGGTTGTCCAATGAGTATTCTCCACTCCTCGTTCTCCTTCTTATAGTAAATGCTTATTCTGCTTACTACTTTCTCCTTTTATGTCTTAAATTAAAAGGGAAACATCAGAGAAACTCTCTTTACTACAGATCAGACCTGTTACCTGAGTAAGGGTATTGTATTGTATGTCACTTTAAATCTTGCTTGGTTGTGACCTAAACATGTTTTATCCCACCCTAAATCTTGCTTGACTGTCTGATCAAATCAGATCACATCACAGAAAGATGATTACAACATTACAGAAATGCCAGATTACATTATTATATTAACTACCAAACTATTTGCAAACCATGTATTTTGGGGGGCACAATTCAATCCACTTCTCAGTGATCTCATTCATAAAATTACCACTGACAGATAGTTTTTTAAAAATTTTAGTTTTCCCAGTCTCCTTCTATGCACTTGAGAGCTGGACAATGACAGAAGAAAAATCGATGCCTTTGAGTATTGGCGAAAAATACTGAATATCCCACAGACTGCCGAAAGAGAAAACAAATGTGTTTTGGAAAAGGTGCAACAAGAGTTCTCCAGGGGAGCATGGCAATGATTTGTCTCAAATACTTTGAATATATTGTTAGGAGAGGCTATTCCTTGGAGAGGAACATCATGCTTGGAAAAGGAGAATGTCAGTGAAGGAGAAGACAACCCTGAGTAAGATGCATCGATACAGTGGTGACTACAGCAGTTGTGTTTGGATAATAAGGATGACTCAGGATAGGGCACAGTTCAGATCTGTTGTTCATAGGATTGCTAAGAGTCATACTCAATTTGACAACACTTAACAACAGCTTTATCTCATATCACAATACTTACCAGAGAAATAAAAAGATGGAATAAAATTATGATGGGTGGTGAAGACAGTAAGAAAACAAAATGCTACTAACTTTATTATTCATCCATACCTTAGTTTGAAAATGAATTCTATTTCCTTCCTTCCACATTTCAGTTTGCAGAGTTTGACCTGGGTATACTGGTTTTGCAAAACGAACCTTTAAGATAAAATGAGTTTTGGGGTTAAAATGTTGCAAAATTAAGTTGTCCCATTTAGGGGAAGAGAACTAGGAAAAAAGTACAAAAACAAAGAGAGACAGTAAAAATATACATATATTTCAAGTCATAAAAGAATTAGCACTCATAATAAAATTAGGAAATATATATATA